AGAGTCCTTTGTGAATTTAAAATGTGTACTTGCATCTGCATCCATATCTGCAAAATTGAGCCACAGATATCCTTATTCACTTCTGTGGATATAAAGTGGATACCCAGAAATTTGCAGAGTTCTTGATTAAAAAAAAAACCTATCCATATCTATGTGTGCAAAAATGAGCTGCAGATATCCACATCCACATCCATGGATGCATATACCCAAAGATATAAAGTGGCTCTCCACAGATAAGCATGGTTCTGTATATATGACAGAATGCAGGTAAAAGCAACCAGGAGACATACAATTCTCCCCCAAAGAGTTCAGTCACAAATTGAATTAATGCATTATTTTTAATGGATGTCATCAACATGGAATCATGTCCTCTGGAAAAGGGGCTGAAGCATGAAAGGGCATATGACTGTTTAGCATATCTGTCACATAAATACCTTACAATGCTGGCTACAAAAGGGCTATGCACTGTCACATAAATACCTTACAATGCTGGTTACAAAAGGGCTATGCACACACCTGTACTCACTTTCAGGTGACATTGTAAATAAGAAGTGGGCAGCATTCTCCCCCATGAAGTTGAAGAGGCCTGGAAAGGAAAAAGAAATCTGAGAAACTTAGAAAAGTCTCACTCTAATTAGAGTCCATTGGGAATGTTGATCTTCTACACAGATTCACCAGAAATGTGGAAACCTGTGTTCAAGTCCCATTCCACCTGACTGAAAGAAGGTAATCCTGCAGGTAGAGTGAAGTCTTCTGTGCCCAAGGTGAGTTCTGTAACTGTGGGGCTATTGGGCATAATTGGGATGGCAGCAGTGACTGCTCCTCCTAATCCTCAAGTTCCATGAATTTAACTTGAGGGGAAAAAAATCTTTCGGACAAACTAGTCAATGAATTTGACACAATATTGAAAATAGTTTTGGTTGATTCCCAAATTTGCAGCAATTTAAGCCCATTGCTTCTTGTCCTATCCTCACAGACTAAGGAGAACAATTTTTCTCCCCTCTCCTTAAAAACACCCTTTTAGATACTTGAAAATCGCTATCATGTTCCCCTCTCAGTCTTCTCTTTTCTAAACTAAACAAGCCCAGTTCTTTCAGTCTTCCCTCAAAGATCATGTTTTCTAGATTTTTAATCATTTTTGTTGCTCTTCTCTGAACCTTCTCCAATTTCTCCACGTCTTTTTTGAAATGTGGTGCCCACTATGACCTTAATCCTTTCAGCAATACTCTTTCCTAGACAATCGCTTCCCATTCTGTATGTGTGAAAATGATTGTTTCTTCTTAAATGAGATAGTACATATTGATTAAAAAGGTAGGTTGAGAGTTTGCATATGGTATAAATTCTAGAGATTTCTGAACCTTTGGCCTTATCAGATATGCTCTTTTCAAAGACTCCTTCTTTACCTATCTTGCTCATCATAGTTTTCTGCTTCTTCCAGCCACTGCTGTCTAGGACATTGTAGTCTGCTTCCCTGCATAGTCAGTGGTATTAGACTCAGGTAGGAGGAGAAGAGAAGGATTCTTAGGGTTCAGACAGGGTAATGGAAAGAGCAGATGTTTTTGTTCCCTACTCCCAAACAGAGATATTTTTGTACTGCTCCCTCTCCCTACCTCCCCATTCCTTCACTCTGACAAGGAAGAAGAGGCAGCAAATACCTGTAAGATGAAAAGTGTATCTCTAAATCAGTGTTTCTCAAAGTGGGCTGCAGATTCATTCTGAGAAACCTGCTAACTGGCCTTTCTCATTTGTTTATTTACTGGCTCCATAACCACAGAGCTTTCCAGCTCCCATTGGCTCCAGTTTGCCATTTGCAGCTAAGGGAAGCCATGGGAAGCGGCATGGGCTGGAGTGCTGCTTCCTGTGGCTCCCCTTGTCTGCAAATGGCGAACCGGAGCCAATGGGAGCCATGAGGCTTTGTGGCTGTGGAGCTGATAAAACACACAAATGGGAGCAGCCAGATAGCACGTTTCTCAGAGTGGTTTCACAGACCACTTTGAAAAACACTGCTCTATGTGCTTATATAGAGAAAGTGAATACCTGGAATCCCACATATGTGGATGAAGTGAATTCAAGACCGCGGTAGTCTAGACGTACCCATAGAGAAAGTGAATACCTGGAATCCTACATATGTGGATGAAGTGAATTCAAGATGTTCATAATTTTTTCATATGTTCAGTTTATTCCAAGGGGATACTTAACAGTTTCTTTATCAGCAGCGATATGGCAATGTCTTCACTACTCCTAATTGTTCATGCTCATTTTATGTTTTTCTTGTTGCAAGCCAGTTTAAAGAAGCAGTTCAATAGAACAGTCATTTTAGTATCATCACTGTTTTTAGCACTCTCCTCATATTTTATGGGTCTTTCTTGCTCGCTAGTATTATTTCCTTCTCCCTTTGACATATTTATAAAAAGTTCTTATTCACCTTAACATCTCTTATTAATGTTAACTCATGTGTGCTGTGAAAGGTTGCCAGAGATGTTAAGAAGCAGAAGTCTAAATGTCATTTTCCTGGACAAAAACCTCCTGTGCATTTTGATGTAGCTTTTTTCACGGTTCTGAGGCCAGAGAGGTTGTCACTGATGAATACTTTATAAGGAACAGAATCCATGTTTTTATTCTGTACGGCATTTAATACACTTGAATGATGTGTGTACAACACCCAGAAAATACATTAAAAGCGTGTTTTGAGGTTAAAAACCAACCACGTAAAAGTTAGGAAATGCCAGATGTATGGTTTTCTGTTTAACCTTTACTCTGGTCTTGTGTATTGTTTAACCTGTGGACCAAATAAGGAAGATGTCTCATGGGAAAAAATGTGATTAACTAACTAAAGATTGTATCATCATATCTGTGTGCAAGGGAACTGAATTAAATTTGAGTGAGCAACTGTGAATATAACTTTAATTTTAGAGATTTAGCAACCTGTTGTAACAGGGCAATCTCCTCTCCTGCTTCTCTGGGTTTTTAATTGCAACAGTAAAAACAGTTGCATTATGTGTCTGTAACTAAATTGGGAGCAGGATCAAGATTCAAGTGATCTCTCCTTCCCTCTTTTCTAGTTCCATGCACATTAGAAAGTGAAGCATTTATTATGCTGTCTAGAATCATCGTATTCCTTTATCAAAATATCATCCATTTCCTATATCTCAGAATTCAGTTAAAAAGGTGCAACTGTATTTCAGCACAGTACAACTGTATAACAACTGGAATACATGTGTCTAAGTGTACTAGTTCATTGTCATGCCTATGAAATCGATTTATTGTGTAGCTGCATTATAACATTGCCTTGACATTTAATATTGCCTCAATCCAGAAATAACTTAGAAGTGGTATACAAGCCAATTTCAGGCTATTCTTTGTTTATTTCTAAAACACTAATATAATTACTTTTATTTTCATTGAAGAAGCATGGTTAAAAAGAAACTGTAACTGGGGGAAATGCATCTGAGGTACCCGTGTGTTTTGGGATGATTAATGGGATAATTCAACATGGGATTTGCTAAGGCAGTCTGACCCACCTATTCATATTCTATGGTCTTTGAAGCAGGAACTCTCTCTTACTTGGTGTGTACAGTGCCTATCATATTGGTTTCTTGGTTTCAACTGAGTTCCCTATTCACTATCATAACATAAATAACAAATAATTATTCATAATATATTTCATATATTTGAGATATTTTAGGGAATGTATGCATTTTAAAATATCCCACATTTATTTCTGGAAAATATCAGTAATTAATTTACTCCAACAAATTTATATTAACTCACATACTAAAAATGCACTTAATTATCTACTGTATTAAAACCTGAATAGGTGGGATTTGATTTTCATTTAGTAGTTTGCTTCCAAAGCTGCATGGAGAAAGAGTTCACTATAGATCTAGTTGGAAAATTAACTATTTCCCCATGGAAACCATTGATGAAAAGGGTAGGTGGAGAGAGAAAAATCACATAATGAAATACTTTGGAAATAATATTGTAGAGGAGAATGAGGAAACTGAATTACAGCTCTCATGAGGCACCATGATGAGAGATTCAAATCTTAGCATTGTTGAATTTGAATTAAATTTTTCAGATGTCATGCCTTTGTTCTTTTGACAAAAAAAAAATCAGAAATTGCTGCACAAAATAAAAATGTCATGAAAATTCACTTAATTTGAATATTTTGTAAAAAGCAGATTCAACGGGATTTTTTTGAAAGTGTGCTATTGGGTTCCTTTAAAAACCCAATTATGAACAAAATACTGCTTCCATTTACTGTGGAAGTTTCCCCAATATCAATGTGATTTCTATATTGTAACAACCTTTTCTCTACTTAAAAAAAAAGTAGTTGAATATTAAATTTTTACTTAGACCAAATGTGGTTTCAAAGAGCTATCCTTTTGTGTTACTTACTTACTAATATGTTTCATGAGATAGTTATATAATACAGATTAGCGTTTACAAAAGGAATTTAGGATAGTTATTTCTTCTTTCATGATATAGTGACTAAAATACTTTTTGATTTGTGAAATATAATGTTAACTATGAAATATCTCTATCTATATAAATATTGCATGCATTTTTATAAGTTTACTATGAGCAGGGCTCTCAAGTGGTCAGGATGTAAATACAAGATTTTGAAAAGAAAAGGAAAAAAATAATTTTGATCATCAGACAAAAGATTTCTCCTAGTCATTCACTGGAACAATGTATCATTGAAAACTGCACTGCCTGTCATGTAATTTTGCTGGTTCAACTTCAGACCTCCTAGTTTTTATTTCATGCAGACTTTTCTGAACCCTAATTCACCCCTTCAAACGTTGTTTCACTGGAGGTCCTGACTGCAGATAATTTTATTTCTTTAATACCAGCCTCAAAGTGTTCCATCTAATCATTATGTTTTGAATTTGATGTTTTATTCTGGCATCGAGCATTTGTCATATTCAGCTAAGATTCCATTTTGGTCCCCATTTTGTTTTTTTATGCCATGGCTTAATCATCTCTTCTTTTCACAGAGTCTGTCATTCATTGGTTGGCTCATCTCTTGGCTCAGTGTTGCCAAGTGATAGGAAAAGTACTGGGAAGAAGGAGTGTTAAGATGTGAGCTGCATCCACAGACATATGTGTGATTAATGGATCAGCAAGCTCACCGGGATCCAGGAATTGCCAAAAGACATTTTTTGTCAGAAAAACAGAGAGGAAGTACAGTGCACTCAGCTTCATTGGAAACTGTCCCCACCTGCAATTAAAAGGTGAGAAATTTGTTTTTCAGTTCATTGCACTTATAGAGAGAGAAGGGGAAAACTTTAAGGTCCTTTCTTTGGTGACTTTGTTTGAGTTGTATATCTTTGCTACATTCTACAATATTGTCTAACATTATATATATTAATTTACTGCGAATTGAGTCAACAATAAATATATAAGTGAAAGACAAATATGACCTTACGGCAGTTCCAAGTAGATAGGCATCAATAAAAGGGTAACTAAGATTTTCACAAATTAACACCTTGATTGTGAGGACCAAAAGGTTCTAGAGCCTGAATGAAATCTATCCCCCCAAATGAAATCCACTGTTCTGATATTAGACAGCTCTTTAATAAAATGTAACAAGATTTATTAGTTGGAAGCCAAATCTAGGGCAAAAGAACAGACTAGGAACAAGCAACTTTCCTAAGAACAAGGGATTCCCCCATCACTTGTCTTTAAATCAAAACTGACCGTCTTGCTAAAAGATATGTTAAAACAAAAGTTATGAATTAAGGCAGAGAGTACTAAGTGCGGTACTTTGACCTGTAATATATAGAACATCAGAATAGCTCATGATGATGGTCCCTTCTGTTATAGAACATCAGAATAGCTCATGATGATCCCTTCTGCCCTTAAAATCTAAGCTAATTGAGAGTTGTAGGAACTACAGAATGTAAAATGTTCCCTGGAAGTTAGGAAGGTAGAGGAGGAATTTGAAGAGAAAATGGTCAGATACATAAAAGTAAATACCAAAGAATGTCATGTTGGTTATTTTAAGTATTTCAGAAACGATACCTTACTGCTGGCTTCTGACCAATGGAGGAGTGGTACCTGGCAGTGAGAGAAGGCACTGCCTGCTGGTGAATGAGTTGATCAGATCAGAAATGGCTCCTTCCAAGAGTTGTGACCTGGACTTTTTATCTCACTGGACAAGTACCCTTCTTCCTCCCTAATGCCTTTCTCCCATGTGGCTCCTTCCAAGAGTTGTGACCTGGACCTTTTATTTCACTGGACAAGTACCCTTCTTTCTCCCTAATGCCTTTCTCCCATGCCATATGGGAATTACAGTCTTCAAAGTGTTTAGCATTTGAGGAGAAGCTAGTTTACGAAAGGTTACACCTTAAGCTGAAGTTGATAGAGCAGTTTTCTGTGTCATATGAAAGGTAGATATTTAAAAAAAATAAAAGATAGGTATCTCACTGGTATTCTGGATTGTCTGTTCTGAACCTTTACTCATAATATTCTCATACGTAATATAACTAAGGGTGCATGTACACTGTACCCATAGGTCAACATAAAATATACAATTTGAGCTATGCAAATTGTGTATCTTATTTTGATCTAATTTTGAAATTTGAGATTTGGTGCTGTCTACATGTCGGAATAGCGAGCCCATTATTTCAAAATCTATTTCAAAATAACAGACTGGTTCAAAAGACATGGAGTAGCTATTTCAGGATACTTCCAGTATCCCAAAATAGCACTATAGTATAGATGTTCACTAGGTGTAATGCTAGGAGAATGTCAGTTTCAACACAGTGAATGCATGTTAATATGGCAAAGAGTAATATTTCTGAATCATAAATGTATCATGTTAATATGGCAAAGAGTAATATTTCTGAATCGTAAATCTGAGATTAGCAATTTGCTATTGCAGGCAGCTGTCAAAATGAATGTTGACAGACTCTGTCGTCAAATTAATCCCTTTCCATATTCAGTGTTGTCTGGCATTCCTTGTCACTCACTACTTGTCCTCAATCTAGGACACAGCCAAGGAGAGAACTCTACAGATTTTACAACTGTTCTGTTGCTTTCCATTCAAGAACTCAGAAACACATTGTATTTGCCCTAAACAGCTACCTTTGATGTTAGTGGCAGTAGAACCATAATGCCTCTTGAATATGAAACAGACCTTTAAATGTAAATTTAGCGAGTTGATGTTGATGTTGATGCCCACAAGCCTAATAACTTGATATGTATTATTTAGGCAACAGATCTTTCTCCCTCTGTATTATTTAGGCAACAAATCTCTCTGTCTCTGTCTCTGTCACTCTCTCTCTCTAACGTATAGCACCGCCTGGTAAAGAAGTTAAGTAAGGCTGACTTATTGTGTATTAATGAGATAATACTGTTTAATAGGTAAGACTGAAAATTAGAAGGACTGGACTATGGACCCAGGGTAAAGGAATCAACCACTTTTGTCTCTGTTTCTTTTCTCTGGGATGACTTTTTGGTCTTCTCAACCTAACTAGAACTGCAATTTTGGAGGCTGGGGAGAGGTAATTGGTGTCAAGGTCCACTTAAAATTGTACAGATTCCCATCTTTCGGAATCTGTTTGCAGGGTTTGGCAGTGTAACTTATTCTGATTGTTTTGTTTATATATTTGGGATGGTTTCCTTTTTTAAAGACATAACTATTCTGAATAAAAAAGGCATTAGGATAATTGTTTGGGGGCTTTTATGGTTATGGTTATTATATAAGGCCTTGTATAAATTGCAGATCTGAAAGTAGAGGAAAAATAGAAACTATGATACTGTGATGTCTGCCCTGATTCTTTTCATTGTGTTCCCCTTTTGATATCACAGACATCTAGTTTTTACTCCTTTCCCCCCTTGAAATATATTAATATCTAGAAAAAGATATAAGATAACACACAATGTAGCAGTAGGTGTATACCTGGTTGAAATGTGGATAAACCATTCATTTCTCTTTGTTTAGAACATGTGGATGAATAGAATAATTTTTCTCCTTGTTTAGTTTTTATACCTTTTTATTGACTTTTTAATGGCAGTCATAAAAGTTTTGAGGCTATGAGACAGGTGTGCCATCAGGGTCTTTTTGAATAGATTTATTGTCATTGTTAGTATTTGTTTATTTGTAGAGCCATGTAAGTACAAATGATGCCACAGAGATGGAGAACTGTGCCAAGTTAGTAAATTATTCCACTCCCAAATGACTTACATTGTAAAGCATAAGTTGGCACAGTATACAGTGATAATAGAAAGTAGTGTATGGTGATGAACAATAATTATTCCTCTACCTAAAATGAAGAACACTGTTGCATGTGATATGGTTAGTTTGCTGTTTGTTGATAATAATGTAGGTATACTGGATCACTAACTATGAGCAGTATTAAACTGAAAAAGTTTGGATCTGGATCTTGATGTAAACACTGCCACTCTCCAATTTCAATTAGCTGGGCACTTGACATGCTGCAATTGCTGCTTATTATTTTAGTTACATAGTTTAACTGCTACCTTTTCTTTCTCACTCAACCTCTGATTGTTTCATCTTGTTGTCTCATATCAAGTCAACATTGTAAGCTTTTGGGAGTGTGGCTCATCTTTTTCCTTTTGTGTACAGCTCCTAGCACAATGAGAAAGAGATGCCTGATTTAGGTCTATTAGCCCTATATGGTCAACATTGTAAGCTTTTGGGAGTGTGGCCCATCTTTTTCCTTTTGTGTACAGCTCATAGCACAATGAGACAGAGATGCCTGATTTAGGTCTAAGTACATTATTTTTGTAATGTTTAAGCTCATAGCTTCATCTTGTTTCTGCCTGCATATAGCCCAAATGGTACTAACTGCTTTTCTGGTGTACTTTTCAGTACTCGGGGAATGCTTTCCCATAGTTTGTGTTTTTAATTATTTTTCACCCTTTCTGTGTGGTTGGCCAGCTGAATTCAAGTATTTAAACAGCCATGCTCCAAAATGAACCTGACTATATTTCCCATCCAAAAATAGTGGGCATCAGAGCTTATGCAATGAAATTCACATGCACACAAGGGAAGAAAATGCTCATTTCTGCCATTTCCTACCTGACCAGAATCATATTTTCCACTGGCTGGTAGAGAGGGCTTTTTTCCTCCCGAAGATACTGCAATAGAGCCAATTTGAACATTGAAAAATGTTGCTTATTTTAAATGTTTCATTATCTAAACCATTCACGTATTCCTAATGTAAGTCTTACATTAAAGCACAAAGGCAGTTGAATGCTAGTAAATATACAGATTGTGCTATTTCATTTTACTGGCACACAGTTTATATCCTGGTATAGCTATAGATTTACACACACACACACTCTGTCTCTCTCTGTCTCTCTCTCTCTCTCTCTCTCTCACGGTTACCAGGTAGACCCCTCCCAAAATACCAGACACACTTGATCATGGGGGGGGGGAGAAGAGAAGGAAAGAGAACAGCTGGGAGGAGGGA